CTGCACTTAGTTTTGTAATAAGAATAGCCCAAAATTAGTATATGACTTAATTACCTCCTTAAATCGTATGAGACCTACCCTGGTTTGACTTTGACCAACATAGTGGCATTAACACCATCTACATCATATATATTATCATGAAGAAATATTTCTTTACATTCCAAATTGTGCCAATTTACGACATCTACATTAGTTACAGCATCTTGACCATTCTCCATTGAATACCATTGTCCTCTATATTCTTCTGGTATCTGACATTCTGTAACATAATATTTTTTTAATCATCCAAGGATTTCTTGAAGGGGGTTGGCTTTTTTTTACATCTTATACAATGGTCAGTACACTGGACATTTTTATGTAAAATTTCTGGGAAGGAAGCATATTTATGTAAAATCATAATTGGTGAAATATAAATCTTAAACAGTAGAATATATCCATTTATTCTGATTTTCTATTTTCTAGTTTACAGAGATTACTTTATAATGTTGGTGATTTTTAATTGTACAAAACATAGCCTAAAACTACCAAGCCATAAACAAATGAGTCATCATGCATGTTGCAAAAAATAGTTGTCTTTATTGTTAACTCTCGTATCATTTCTTTTCAATTATATTACTCAAACCATAGGCCTAAAAAACAGGCCAAATTAAATGCCTGTCTATAGGCCTGTACATCTGCAGCTTACATTGGCCTTAAAAGTAGGCATATCGGACTTGTTATAAAAGTTAAAGAATGTTATGATGAGTAATAGTTATGGTAAAAGACGTGAATCACTTCTCAAGTAGACCATTGTAAACCATTTGCACACCTGTAATTAACCTCAATACCAGTTTTCCACCTTAAAACTAAAAGTTATGAAGCCAATACTTACGTGAAGAAATTAGATCACAGCAAAATGATAATATCAAAAACGTGAAAATACTTTTGCGATGTCCTGCTAACACCGCCGCCATTTTAGTTACCTTTTGAAATATGGCGACTTATTAGGTCAAATGATATCGAGGCAGGTAAAAATTCAGGTGGGAGACAGTTGACAATTTTTATAGTTAAAGGGAAGTAACTATAGTTAATGAACATGTAAAATGTACTTACCTCCCCTTAATGGCAATAGGTAAACGAAAATGACTTTGGTCTGGAATAAACACTTCAACTTTCAGACAACCCTTGGATAAAGAGTATACAGTGCTTTATTTTCTGCTGTGTACGTTAAAACGAGATCAGATCCGTCGCAAACCACAAACTCGCAGCGCAATATCTAGAAATTGGCCGAATACTAGCAACTGTGTCAACATGATAATCTGTATGAGTGCAAAATTTCCCATCTTCAATAGGTCAAACTTGAGACAAGAAACTAAAACTTTCATTTTGAATCAGGAGAAATTTAGAACATCACCTCGGGTTCTATCTCTAAAATTTCATCATTCTCTTAATTAAATGGATTTTAAATTTTTGTTTTTTGAACCAATCTTAGATCACCGTATTTTCTCAAATCTGGATTCCATCTAAATTAAGTTTTCCAGAATAAGACCCAAGAATTACAGATTAATTATTCTGTTTAACTAACTTGAATTTACAGGTAATGATATGCGAAATTTTAGAAATTGCTATTTTCCATTTTCTAATGGACACATATTATCAATGATGTTTAAAGTGTGAAAATAATTAAAATACTGGTTAATAGGTGACTCATTGTGTCTCGATTAACAAGCAGATTAAGCATTAAACCGTTAAATTGGTAAAATCGTTTCTTGATTACAGTTTAAAAGATGAAACGGAACTTGAACACTGTTGGAAATTCAATTTGTTCACGTTGATGAAACCACTTAATACCCCGGGGTCCTGATAGCCATATTTAATTAGAGTAACAAATCTTTAAATCGTCTTAATAGTTATTAAGGGAGCTTTCCACCTGTGATAAAATATAGTATATTTCTTAACTGAACAACGCTAAGGACGTTTCTTTGATGGTCAATCGCTAATAAAAGATAACCCCAAGATCAATTGGTCATTGCTTGTATAAAAATTGAAAATGTCTCTTGGTACTCCTACACCCTACACAAGGGATATGAAGAATGAAACGTGGCCAATGAAAGCTATGCAATGAACAAGAGTCAGCATCTCAAAAACAATAAATTTTTGAAAGAGCTCATAGAATCAGAATCAACTGGCAGATATTATACATCAATGTGTTCTCAAATTTGTTTGCGAGGATACTCGGGTATACCGTGTGGTTTTGTGTGAACAAGGGCCTTAAAATGTATGGCATCTAAGGATTCACTGGACGTCTTTTAGCTAAATCAAGGACAATAACTCAGCATCTCTTTTACAAATGCTTCGATGTAAACGAATATAATTGTTCAGCATGATAAAGCGTATCATCTTCACAATGTCCAACTGTTACAAACTTCGTACTTTTACCTTGGCCGCAATGGCCCTTTTTCTTGTATCAAGAAATGCAGCGATTTAGTTGGATTGTACGCCAGCGAATACAGCCAATTGGAGCCCCCGACACACAGGTCTCTGATTGGCTGTATTAGATAGCATACAATCCAATCAAATCGATTCATTTACAAACTTTTATGATACGGGAAAGGTGACTTTTATAGTCAAGGTTTAAGTACGAAATTCGCAATAGCATGACACTGTGAAGAATTAAGTGTATACATACCAATATTTAAAACAAAATGTAAAGTGCGACTTCTGCCAATCTCAAGTCATTCTGGGCTTTCTGTAGCATTAACTAAGACATACCCCAAAGAGATATTCGGAAATCAAACTTCGCCTTCATGCAGCAAAAGATCCCAGCACCAAATAAAAATTTACCTCTTTCAAACGTTTGGGTTTAACTGTGGCATGGAAACTCGAGTTATCCGTGAAATTCAGGACACGGGATATGAATATAATGGATGGACTATCCTATACTCATATTAATGAAGTAATCACCGCCTGAAACAATACCACCCGACTACAAGATGAGCTGCTTATAATGTGAGTCATGAATCTTTCAAATTTTCTGATCGACAGCTAATTAAGATGGGGATTCAAAATGGCGGAGGTCGAGATATTGATAAATGGGTTCTTGATAGTCCACTCTGAATTGAAAGCTCGTGAGAAATGAGTGATTAGTGTAGTAGCAAATAGAAGCAGTGAGGCGGCTTAAAGGCGGAAAACACGACTTGTTACATGACCTGTTGAAGAAATTTACTTCACTGTATTGTCAAGGGGAATAACTCATGAAAGTTATACACGCTATAAATTTTATTTTTTTTCCGGGATATGATCCGGTATTAGTAACTAGACCTTCAGGTCAGAATAAATCTACTGTACTTATTTTTTCAGCTTCAGACTATGCACGTTAAAGACCCCTCGACAGTTGGAAATCGAAAGAGAGCAGGCTAATACAGCTGTCCTACCAAATTTTCCCTCACTGCACCCTGCATGGTGTTGCCCGTCTTAGCCTAAATGGTACAGAAAAATAGGAGTCATTCTTCATTCTTTTCATTTCATTTCAACTTTCATTTGATATTCGAAGTAGAAAAGAAGATAATGTTTTACTGTTCCATTAGCCTATATGTTGACTATTGAACAATTGGTCAATGCTTTTAGGATAAATATTGCTCATATAGCCACATTGTTAGTGCTGAGGCTCAACCAGCATTTAAATCACACCATAGCGATCACCAGTTATGTATGGTTGCGAATAAGAACACAAGTTATAAATTTAAAACGTGACTCTAATGCAACTGTGTTGTGAGTTGTGTTGGGAACTCATGGCCACTGTCATTATTCGCAACCATACACAATTGGTAATGGATATGGTGTGAGGGCATCTTTAGGAGCGTGCATAGTGCGGCATTGTTACATTTGGTTTTACAAGTAATTAATCTGAACTGAAGTATTTAGTATTAAATTATGCATTTTATACCAGCTACGTGGATTACCAATAACTCCAAGTTTTAATGGATCAAAACTTCGAAATAACACACTTTCTAAGAATTACAAAAGCCTAAGGGCAGTTTGTGTTAAGATTATTAAAATAATTCTTCAGGCCAAGTTGGTGATTAACAATATGTTGATGAAAGCTTATTTGTCTACTTCAAGCTATCTTGTTTGGTTATTTAATGATATTCTTACCGCTAGACACACATTTAAGTAGCTTCGTTAAAGATATTTTCGTAACTTAAAAATAGCCACAGGTCCGAAGTTTCTAAGTTCTGCAAGTGCTTGGAGCTGTTATTAGCAGTTATGTCTGTTATATGTGTCTAACTGTAGCCATTGGCAGTGTATATTAAGAGTTAGCAATGAAGACCCTGAACTGACGTGAATGTGAACGATAATGAGGAAAGAGCTAGGGGGTCTTATCTTATTTTAATTATCACAATAGATTTTGTTGGATATCTAACAAGCCACACTATATACTATTTCTGTGTACAATGTGCATTGTATTATATCTATATCGAGATGCATACAATCAAGCACAGTCTTTGTGACCAGCAAAGTCTAACTGGGACGTGGCCAATTTTCTTACATTTTAAACCAATTATATCAAGTCTTCCATTGCAATACTACGGAAGCGTATTAGGGCCATTCAATTTTTTTTTTTTTTAAATTTTCAAGTATGTTGAATTTTCAAGTTAGTAACTTGAATTTTCAAGTTAGTAACTTGAATTTTCAAGTTAGTATCTTGAATTTTCAAGTTAGTAACTTGAATTTTCAAGTTAGTATCTTGAATTTTCAAGCTAGTATGTTGAATTTTCAAGTTAGTATGTTGAATTTTCAAGTTAGTATGTTGAATTTTCAAGTTAGTATGTTGAATTTAGTATGTTGAATTTTCAAGTTAGTATGTTGAATTTTCAAGTTAGTAACTTGAATTTTCAAGTTAGTAACTTGAATTTTCAAGTTAGTATGTTGAATTTTCATGCTAGTATGTTGAATTTTAAAGTTAGTATCTTGAATTTTCAAGTTAGTATCTTGAATTTTCAAGTTAGTACCTTGAATTTAGTAACTTGAATTTTCAAGTTAGTATTTTGAATTTTCAAGTTAGTAACTTGAATTTTCAAGCTAGTATGTTGAATTTTCAAGTTAGTAACTTGAATTTTCAAGTTAGTATGTTGAATTTTCAAGTTAGTATGTTGAATTTTCAAGTTAGTAACTTGAATTTTCAAGCTAGTATGTTGAATTTTCAAGTTAGTAACTTGAATTTTCAAGTTAGTATGTTGAATTTTCAAGTTGGTAACTTGAATTTTCAAGTTGGTAACTTGAATTTTCAAGTTGGTAACTTGAATTTTCAAGCTAGTATGTTGAATTTTCAAGTTAGTATGTTGAATTTTCAAGTTAGTATGTAGAATTTTCAAGTTAGTATGTTGAATTTAGTATGTTGAATTTTCAAGTTACTATGTTGAATTTTCAAGTTAGTAACTTGAATTTTCAAGTTAGTATGTTGAATTTTCAAGCTAGTATGTTGAATTTTCAAGCTAGTATGTTGAATTTTCAAGTTAGTATCTTGAATTTTCAAGTTAGTATCTTGAATTTTCAAGTTAGTATCTTGAATTTAGTAACTTGAATTTTCAAGTTAGTAACTTGAATTTTCAAGTTAGTATGTTGAATTTTCAAGTTTGTACCTTGAATTTTCACGATAGTATCTCGAATTTTCAAGTTACTAACTTGAAAATTCAACATACTAACTTGAAAATTCAAAAAAAAAAAAAAAATGAATGGCCCTAATACGCTTCCGTACAATACTGCATCAATTATACATTTTAAAATTTTAAATAATATATAATATCTCAACAGTTTGAATATTATTTTTGTGTGAAGAGCGGTCAATTTCAAGTTTACGTTATTTGACAGCTTTTATAATCTTTTGAACAACAGTGAACGACCCAAAATTTTCGTTAAACGACAAGGTTTCGTGTGTAGGTTAGAGTTGTGTTTTATAGAGCAGGGTTATGGGAAACAGCACTAACAGAAGCTATAGCCCGGTCTGAGAAAATCTGCAGGCCCCGATAGATGATTTTAATTGACTATTGACAAAATGTTTATTAAATATTTTTATTGGAGAGAATATAATAGGGCAGAGAAATTTCATGATCAGAAATGTGAATATACATAATGTTCAAACAAAAATACATGTACATCATCGAACAGTACTCAATATAAATATCACTGAAATTCTGAGGGCAAAAAAAGACTTAAATTCGATGCTTATCACTAAAATTAAACTTATTTCCCAAGAACAATGTAAAACCAGTCACATGTAAATGTAATTTCTTTATTTAGCAATGTTCCGAACATATCCTTTTCTTGTCATCTTATTTGTTAGCTAAATTTTGATTTGATATGGAAATTCTATCTATTAACGTAACATATTAAAAAAAATAACTGCATGTATTTGTGGTAATATTTTATACATTTATAGTGATAATAAATCCACACTTGTTTGTTTATGATGTCCTGGACAACTATTCATGAGCCTATTTATGAAAGTATCTAGAGATAGATCGAGCTCTCTTAATCAGAGAATTGGGAATGCTTTTAGTCTGCTGTGGTCGATCATCTGTATTAATACCCAACCTCGTATACCTGTTGGAAATTTGCTTTCCTAATGACGCAACTACTCCCAATTTTTGAGAAATCAAATTTGGATTGTCCATGAATTGTGCGTAGTTTCGTTTGAAGGGGTTCGGTTTATTCCAATGTGGTATACCTACAAACTGACTTGTCTTCAGTCTTTGTTGGAACTCGGATACCGACATTGTTCCCGATGCTAGTCTCTTCCGTAGAGTCATGATGGCTTTCATAAGCAGTGCATTTGGTGCCATTGTTGTCATTCCAATTCCCCCTATCCCATAAATCATCACCATATTAGACGCTGGTGCTGCGAATCGGAACACATTTTGTGCAGTAACTCCTCGGGCACAACTTCTAGCTTGAAGAATGTCAAATTCTACTCCTTCATCATTTAGACCAAGGAGTGGTATAGCGTTGGCTTTAATGATATTTAGACCAGTTTCGGCATGAACTTCTTTGGAAGGGAAATATCCCCCACCGGTCGTTTGTAGAACGAAATACTGATAGGTTTTCTCTCCAATATGAACTTGTTTTTCTGATAAACGGACAATATGTTTATTGTGGCCATCGATGTGATCTCGAAACCTTGTCATCTTCGACTCGGGAACAATTGCCTTGTCCACACGAACTATGAACACAATCGACATTCCAGATGCATGCATCATTTTCTTTAGCAAATTTTGAGATTTTATCTTATTTAAACTCTTGCTGATCTTGGAAGGAACCAAAGGGTTTGGACTTGCTATTGAATCTGATGTGTTGAGGATGTCTTTCAGTTGATTTTCGGATGGCTGACACACTTCCAGTCGTTTCATGGATGGACCAAGTGACAGATAGAGTGTATTAACTGGTGTGGTTTTAATTTCCCCGCTTTCGGTATGCTTCCAAACGATTTTTGTCACTGTGACGTCACCATTTTTTTCAAGCTGAACCAAAATTTTCAAAAGCTGTAGTTTTTCGTTCACAAACCCTCCTTCGTCTCGTATCATTTTGAGCATGTCGGTACCAATATAAGGTGGAAGATAACCATCGTTGGAAAATGCAGCTGCTTTGGGGACGAAATTAGGATCGTATCCTCTCTCTTTAATTTCGTCTACATGGAGGAATCTGTATTCGAGTATATTGCCACCAGCATCTCTTTTTATATGGTTAAACACGGAAGCTGTTTCTGCAACCTCCTTTTTCGATCCTAAGAACACACTAAGCGCATAGGCGTCTTTATTGGATTTCAGGAAGAATGGTTTAGAGGCATTAAGTTCATCTAGAATTTCTTGAGTTAAGCTTGCATGATGGCACGATACATGGGCAGTCGTCTTTTCAGGAGGATTTAGAGCAGTTCCTTGAATATGAAGACCAACATCTTGCAATGCCTTAATTTGGTTCTTTGCAAAAATTTTGAGGATGCTTGGTTCTTTTAGAAAGTTAATAAAGTTGAAGCGTAGTTTGTTCCAGTGCGGATCCTCACAAATATCTTTCATGTATTTATCTGGTTGTAAGTAACGCTGTAAAAAATGTTTAACTGTTGCATACGTAAGGTATACTCCGTGGTTATTCGGCCAGTAGTAGACCGGAACTGCATCCCGTATGTGGACATAAGATGCTGAACCCTTCCAATTTGACACTCCCAATTTACCATTGTGACCATACAGCACCTTCTGTGGATTTTGCTTGGATCTCGCTTGTAAGGCTGCACCAGTTAATGCCGCTGGTCCACCAATGTATACATCGAAACCATCACTATCGTCCATGGCGTTGGGATTTGGGTCCAGTTCTATTTTAATATCATTATTTGATTTCTCCCATAGTTTAAAGTCATCTTTATGAAGTTTGCCAACACTGTTTGATTGTACGATATCTGGAAAAAGGTTGGAGAAATGATCGAGAACATAGTCCGGAGCTTGTAGTATCTCAGATAATGGCTCATTCGTCTTTACAAGCTGTGTTAGTTCATTCAGGATCTACAACAAATGAATAAATAGTAAGAGCGGGAAGAAAGCTATCCTTTGGAGAACTTTTGGAATTTTGATAAAAGGAGCTTTTCTAGGCCTTGTATTTGTATTCCTGGTCGCACGTATTTCTCCATTCCGATTCCCCGTCAAACGTCTGTGGTTCAGGTGACCTTCACCGGAATATTGCTTCAAATTCGCATATACTATTCATGTTAATTGGTTTTTGTGATTGTGGCGTTCGATTATGTGTGTATTTGGAAGGAAAAGATGTGCGTCCCCGATGACTAGAGAATTCTCTGTAATCTTATTGTTTCATTCTACGCCAAGATGACTGGCTTCAAAATGTTTTGGATGCTTCCAAGGTATCAAAAAACAAAACCAGCGCAAGTTTAGCTTTCGGGGCTCCGTAATTTCTTAAAATATGGCCATAATCGCTATCTTTTCGAAGGAAAGTTATAATAAAACGAGAAATATTACAAATTTAGTCACAGTTAATCTGAAGCTGGCAATTAGAGGAATATTGGCAAACAGAATTCACATCTACTAGAAAAATTAACATGGTATTTTGGTATAATGTTGATAAACGTCCAATTCAAACATAAACAACAACTCTAATTATGAATGCTTATTTATAAATGATTTACCTTATTTCCAGAGGAAAAATTAACGTTTCGATCTGAGTCAAGGTGAACACTTCCATCATACAATGGATCCATGGTTGGTAAATAATGATTGATATTATTTTCTTTAGTTACTTATATAAGTTTCTAATCCGGATATAGATATTTCGAACATAAAACTATGGAAAACAAGTTAAAACAAGGTCATATGCACAGCCTTTATCTATAAGAGCAATTGACAAAGGGCTTTAAAGCATGTTTAGGTCTATACCATTAAAGCTATCAATCGACATAATTTGTTGAAGAAATGTGGCCGCCACACACAGAGAAAAAAATCCGGGTAAAACATGCCCATCGGTCAGTCTAAATCCATGACTGCTAGTAGTAAATATGGCGGACAAGCAGGTTTATTTTTATTTTTTTAAATATTAATTTATTTTAGTGTAATCAAAGCATGATAGCTTTTATTGGGGCTATTGGCTATCGATCTAGATCCCTGGTTTCCAGTCCAGGATGGTAATATATCAGGAGCAGTGTGTATCTCTATCTTACTGTCCGAACAACTCGAAGAATTCATTCGTTCACATTTCATTTCAAGGAACAAATACAGACAACCAAAGATTTAATATATTCCATTCAGTGTATCGCCACAACTCAGCTATACCCCACAATTATATTGGTGATCCCTTTGGCTTAGTAAAACAATTTGTTTTAAATCGAAGAGATCCAACATTGTCCATACAAAAGTGCAGAAAAGTAAATCATAAAATTCCATGTTGCCTCACCAAATTCACAGATAAAAAGAAGGGTATCCTGCAGAACAAAAGTGTCACTTTAAATTAATTCGTGTGATAAACAACGATAGGTTATCTAATTGTAAGTACCATCCCTTAAACGAAATAAGGGCATCCTTTTTAAAGGGGCAGTATGCAAAATGTCATGATTAGAAATGGCTGTAATTATGCTTTTTACATTTACTTCTTACATTTTCGGAGAATCAAAAAAGTAGTGTATTAATTGTTATTTGGGCATAAACGATTCTTATATTTCTTAGTTGAAACCTTCAGAATACGTAGAAGGCATAATATCTCTACAATTACTTAAACATGTAAATTATTTTTTAAAAACCAATCAAAAACATAAAAGGTTTACGTAAACGTTTTAAGAAGTTTTTGCGGTCCAGGATTTAACGACAAGATACTTAAGTTACAGTTATTTGATATTTAGATCTTGGTATATAGTTTTCATTGATAACTTTCCCAAACATGTATTAAAAATTCGACTGTCCCTATAAATCAATATAATGAAGGTATAAGCCTCGGTATTAACCTGTTTTTCTTTTCGTTGCCTGAAAACAACATAACAGGATTTTACTTGGTAAACATAAACACCCTTCACTGATATATCTATTTTAAATTAGATCACTGTGACATTCTAAGCTAAGGTTTACTTGAGTGTGATTGAGCTATAAATATGCATTTCAGTGCATCATAGATGACATAGAGAGGGGCATAAATAACGACTATAAGTGGCAATTGCGATTTACCTCAAATTTATAATTCAATATAAGTTCTACCTTTATGATCAATGATAGAAATGACACATAATGATTCGCCTTCTGACAACCAATGGAAACTTGCAGCCTGTGTAATTACTGTAGTGACCGCCCTATATTTCATTCTTGACTTAACAAAGTTGGTGAAGCGTAGATATTTTCAGTTATGTCGAGTTTCGCATTTTCAGACTTTATGATTTGGCTAATATTAAATTTATTCAATGGTTAAAAAAACAATCATTTTTATTACATTTATGAAATATAACAATAATATCATAGTCATGAGCATAATACTAAAATAAAAAAGGTTAAAATCTCTTGAGGTCTGTTTGATACTTGACTTCCGTTATTTGATACTGATTGATATTCTAGTAAATACCGGTGTTATCTCCCTTGATAAGGTTAGATGGCGCTACTATACGTCTTTATATCATGAAGGGCCACAACCCTGTCTGCCTAGTAATACTGATTCCATTGATTCAAGAAGGCAACATTTCTATGTTTTAGGCACTTTCTATAGCTTATACAGAAATATATGACATGAAAGGTGTCTAATACCCTTTATCTGGTCAAAAACCTATCTGGTCAAAAATATAATATATGGCCATGAAGATTTAGACTTTAGGGTTATGGTATACTTCCGATTTCGCATGTACAAGAAACAATTATTTTCTTCCGCTTCCAAATCTCCCCATAATTTCAAAAAGCTGATGAAATAACCTGATTATTTCAGACATCAAAATCCGAATCAAGACCAAAATATTCATGTAAAGGTTAAGGCAACATGTGTGGACACTCTCGAACGGAAATTATATTGAGCTCTTGATGAATGGAATTAAAGCATAGAAAATTAGAACTATTCTGATTGGATAATAAATGGGTTACATCCACCTAAATTTCTCCAACGTCTTTCTGTAACCCGTGCTAATTAATCTACATAATTCTTTCGTATTGCCTTGGAGATTTCCGTCTTTCATCTTGGATTAGATTTAAGACAAATTAATTTGCCTTCACCCTCCTACTTTCATTTTAATTCAGGAATTCACAGGGTTCACATTTTTCAAATTAGTGAGCCATCTTTGAATCCATAAATTACAAGATTACATAATATAACCAACCACTTGATGCCATGTGCTAAAGCCTTGTCTGGGTGATATTTCTTAAGAATTAAGTACCCCCTGCCCAGACGGAATTAGTATTTTGATGTGTAAGAAGATTACTTTAGACTGCTTATCGTGGGCTTTACTATTAATACCACAAGTTGCATGTGATCCTATTATGACCCCGGTTCATTCTCCATGTTAAACTTCCGATACTGAAGATTGTACAATACATTGTATTTCACGAACGGAAATTATATTCGAAGTGAAAAGAGCAAACTGAAAGAACTACTGTAACATAAGAGCAATACTAAAGTAGAAATTTCAAAAAATACATTTTGAGTACCTCAATGTTTTGCTTATCAAAAAGATACAACAGACTCAAATATGAATTATGTCCAGTAAAGATTCGCTGACAGAATTTGTGCTTTTCTTGCAAGAAATAATATATTAAATCATCAAAAACATATTTTTTAAAAAAGAAAATACTTAAATTAGAATCAAAGACGGGCATGGTGCCAGCTATGTTAATTTCAATGTCTCAGTCGAGATTGTCATTAGTCATCCATCACATGGTAAAATGATTCCTGACAATACCAGACTCTTCAAGTGACCACTTGATACTTTGTCATCAAGACTACCTGAATAAATTACTATGACAACGTCTCGTGACTTCAATAGTTCGTCTCCTGGAACAATGATTACAACTGTGTCTAGAAGCTCATTGTGTTTAGTATAACATCTTACAAGAACCCTTATCGGCCTTGTCTATTGTCCTTCAAGTAAAGAGAAATCGTAAATAGTTTTGAAATTGACTACCATCTAAAGACAAGATGGCTACCTGAACAACGATTAAGTACTTGTCATTGAGGAATTTACCACAAAATGACAAAAGGTTAGAAAGTGAAGGGGTTTTCAACCATTTGATAGATAAGTAATTTGAACCTAACCAATCGGTTCGGTTCCCATCACATTGATTGCTTTGCTTTTGAAAATCGTAATCTGATAACGTTTGATCTGGACCAAACCGGAAGTTACACACCAATGTGGTATCACCTGCGATATATTTGCATAAGAATTTTCTCAACTTAAATGTCCACAAATAGAACAAAGTATCTATGTACTCTTCACATCAGCCAATGGATTGCTCTAAGTAGCGTTAAGAATTCTTCTTGCTCTCAGTAGGACGGGAATGAAGCTTGCCATCTGTAGTAAGAATGTTTGGTGTTGTTACCGGCTCACTTGCCTAACGAGTTACATATCAAGCGTCTGGGGTTCGATCATGTCATGATTTTCAACCTGACCTTTCTTTGTCACTGGTGCAGGCTTTATAGGTGTGAAAAGAATCCGATACCCTTGTGCTACAGCATATAAAGCCTGTCCTTAAAACACCTCTCTTATTGCACACTTGCATTATTCCTCAAACTTTATCTCAATTCATGTATAAAATAAAGAGGTTGTACCACCTTGAACTGACACATGTCCAGAAGATGATTCAGCTGAAGGAAGAGAAAGTTTGAGTATTCGTCACATGTATTAACTAGTATTATAGTGTCAATAATCACATTACTAACTTGTCATCTTCAATCTTTCTTCTGTCTCTTACTGACTAATTGATTCTCATTCCTTATAACACTGGGTTATACAGTTATTATACAATTATAACATGGTTATTAGGCATCATGTATCTCTTGGTTGTATTCAGTGGTTGTTACATTATGTAGTATTCTTAGATAGCGGACATGTGTTTCGGATTCGGGTCGGTATATGTATTGTACCTTCCAGGGCTTCAGTCGTATATCAAAATGTACAATCTTATGCGAATTCCACTCTACTCTATTGGGTGTAAAGGTTGCAACTTTGTACTAATGATAAAGTTACGAAAGCATAGGCACAGGTCTGATAAGTTTTAAGTTCTTTATTTGACTAAACAAAATGTGTATTGGGTGTCGATAGCATTCAAGCGTTCGGGAAAGCTAGTTCTTTCGAGACAACCGATGTCATTACATAAGTGGGTTAATAACCTGACAAAACGACCATACTGCAAATAGTGTTTATTTGGTATATTATTATATGATAATGCATTATCATCAGATTTTTTTTTAGATGCACCGTAGTTTCCAGGGAATATATGATGAATGGGGTAATTTGTGTAGCGGATTATTGGAGGATTATAAAAAAATTAATCCATCCATTATACAAGGGATTAGCCACACGTCTTTAAGGTAATCAATTACAAGTCAAGTTAATATTCTACACCATGTATTTTATTACTCATCTCTAACTTTTCTCACCATAACTACTACAAAGTTTCATTCCTTTAATAAAGTCTTATTCAACTCAAACAAGAGATTGCAAAAGATCTACCTGGTTTTGTTGCATGAGAGATCGAGAGCTCCCATACTTGCATAATGGTGGTGACAGAATGTTTAATACCATAT